TCGACTGATTTTAAAGGTGTTTTAACCTGTTTAAAATGCTATTAAAATGCTATGCTTCAAAATATATTTTAATAGCTGTTTAATCGGTTTCGAAATTTAGTAAAATACTCGTATTTGCAAATACAATAAAAATACTTTGAAAACAGTATTAAAATACCACAGAAGAAGAAAAGCAATAGCACACATATATTATGAATTAAATACCTCAAAAATAGGATGCAAAAATGCAAAAACAGTATAAAATTGTAAGAACATAGCCTTAGAGTTGTCTGAAAACAGTATAAAAATCGGTCGAAAGAGCATAAAAATAGTACAAAAACAGGATGGAAATACCATTTAAATTCATGAAATAAAATGAATACAAAACCGTCGAAAATTACCCTGAAAAAGCAAGATTTACCTCGGCGAAATTTCTCCACACAGTCCTAGGCTAGGACTTCAAGAGAATTATCTCTTAGCCGATTACTTTACGTTGATTTCCCTAAGAATTCTCGGGAAATTCTTATGGAATTTTTCAGAAATGCTCAAATCAATCTTTAGCTGTGTACAGACCCCTTCCCTCAATAAAACTCGGAGGGAGGGGTGGGGGGGTATGTACACAGGCTATCAACCTTGGCTTCAAAAGGGTATAACGTTACTGACGTTACCGGTAAATATTAATCTACATGCATGTAACTTACATTGTTTATTATATTCACGGCTTTACTCAAATATCATCAGAAGCTTAATGCAGGCTACGCCTGAACATTAATTAGTGGCTGATAAAGAACAGCATACGAATAAATTTACGCGAGAATGAAAGAGGCCGGTGACGTGACATCAAGTGACTGAGATCATTTATACAAAACAGCGAGTCTCTGCAAGGAATCCTGTAAAAAGTAAAATTGCCGTACGGGCGCGACTATATAAATGTTTACTACCCTTCATTTGTTTCTCATATGGCGTATATCTAAACGTCTTAGTAACATTGTATATTTAATACTTACAATTAGACTGTTGGACTCTTCTCCTGAACCAGAACCTTTCAAAGTACATAACAGTCGCTGAGGAGTCATAACCATTTTTGATTCGTGATAAAAGCAACATCTACGTGTTCCGACAATCCGCAGAGTTGGAGTGTACTTTTGTAAGATCGTAACAAACAGTAAAATCAAGCGCATTTAAGCTCACAGCAACCGCCCGGGAGCAACCGCCGGTTCAATAATTTGAAATGAGCAAAGGACAAAGGACGGTTTGCTTATCACGTGCATTTGTCACATCACCGCGGCGCGAAGTCGTGATTTCAGTCGCGCGTGACATCTCAAAAATAATATGCCATATGCCATATGCCATATGCTAATTTTCTTCTCTTTTTTCAATTTCTTTTTGATTTGCTGGGAGATTTAATTTTTGGCTCCGCCTCGAGCTTTATTGAGAGAAGAATCCGGTCCACAATATGACAGCTTGTTTTGAGTCATTTATGAGTTCGTGACACGATGAAGGCTTAAAAATTAACTTTGTGCAATTGTTACTTTTATAGTCTGAGTATAAGTATCCCAAAATACATTACAATATTGCACCTCAATAATAATAAGTAATAAGTACCCTATTTTAAAGTATTTAAAATAAGGTCAGCATTTGATGTCTTTCAGCAGACTTTAAATATTTCATGTACAATCTGTTTTTATAGTCAGAGTGTTGTGTGCCCAAAATACAATTCAAATAGACCTCAAAACAGTGTTTAAGTACCCTATTTAAAAGTATTTGAAATGCGGTCAGTAGTTAAGGACTTAAAACATATTTCAAATAGTCTATTTGAACTCTGTTTGTAACTTTGTGAGTGGATGCGTCTCAAAATACATTTTCGATACAACTCAAAACAGTGTTAAAGTACCCTATTTAAAAGTATTTAAGATACGGTCAGCATTTAGGCTCTCAAAACATATTTTAAATAGTCTATTTGAATTATGTTTGTAACTTTGTGAGTGGATGCGCCTCAAAATACATTGTAGATGCAACTCAAAACAGTGTTAAAGCACCCTATTTAAAAGTATTTAAAAAACAGTCGCATTTAAGCCCTTAAAACATATTTCAAATAGTCTATTTGAACTCTGTTTGTAACAGTGTTAGTGGTTCTATGCCCAAAATACATTTGAAATACCCTATTTTATTCATATTTATTAAACAAAATACATTGTAAATTGATGAGAGAGGTTTTCCTTTTGATGAAATATAATTTAACTACACTTAAGATATATTCCAAACAGGGGCGAAAATTTAAATTTTTTTGTCAAATAGGATTAAAATACGGGAAAATAGTATTCAAATACTGAAAATACATTTTAAACACTTTAAAATCAGTTTCAAAATACATATGGTTTGGTAAGGGAAGGACATTCCGTTAATTTGGCCACTTTCTATGTTTTCCAGTATCCGTTGGGTTTCTTTCAGACTAAGGTTACGTGTTCGTCTCCAACGGGTAGCTTTTTATTTCTTTGTCAATGGCTACCCGGTTAGAGTATATACACTTGTCACAGAAACCTATCCGATGTGTGACGATCCACCACAAGATCGAATTACTAGAATACGCGCCGCTCTTTATAAACCACCGACCTCAAATATGCGACGCGTTTTGGAAAAAAAGGTCTAGTGTTGAGAGCGCCTGTTCGTAAAAATGGAACATATTGTTTCAAGGGTGGACAATTCGATTTCTTTTATATTTTCATGGAAAATAGGCTACGCTATAACTAAAATCACTGTATAGCTTTTTCGGTGAAACACCCTTTTATTAAGGACATAAATGTAAATAACCAAAATCCATTAAAATTGTCATTTGAGGCCGTAATTATCACACGGATTTGTGAGCCTCTCGTGCAAAACGCAATCTTTATACCCTCTTTAACACATTACACTCTCCTTTTAAACCCCTTAATATTTGTTAAAATGATTTGAAAAAATAGTGCGTTGTTCTTTGTATACAAAACAATTTAATTTCGAAGGCACACAGTTTACTTCAGAAAACGTAAAGCGTGAAAAAAATTAATGGTATTAGATCGTTGACGGCAGTTGGCGCGGTGTACATTGCAAGTTTAAAAAACAGAGGTAGTCAAACAACGAATGACCAGACAATCATGATAAAATGGCCTTAAGACCGGTTCTTCATAGCGGATTATAAGGTTAGAAAATTTTTTTTTCTAACAGCTTATTTTAACCTAATGTTGGCCTAGGCATGTGCAGGGACTAAATATTTGTCTGACTCTCAACTTTAAAATTGACCACGGAAGATCAAATATCTGCATTTTTTTTTTACGGACTTTGAAAAGTTGCCGTGTCGCTCGTAGTGATTTGCCCAAAAAACATTTTTATAGCGGTCTGTAGATCATTCTTATAACATTCAACCACCAGAAGCTTAGTTGATAGAAGTTTTCGCACATGGTGAAAATTATAACTTTTCCCTCAACTTTCGAAGCTCTTATTTTTACAACTGCATATTCCTCGACAGCTCTGTGTATGAAACAATGAAAACGAAATTAAGTTGTAAAATTCTTTGTCACCTTTTTGGGTTAATTGGCTGAAGCACTTCAATCGATCGCTAATAAATCAAATTCACAAGTTAGTACTATATCAATCACTTATTTACAAAAAAGGTGACTTGTTGCCGAAGTTTTTACGCATCGTTTTTGACCGACAAAAGAAGCAGACGTTGACGTAATAGGCTATTTACGAGTTCCAAAATATGTCGTTTTCAAAACGGCGCCGAGTGAAAAACTTTCCTTGTGAAACTGAGTTTTATTTGCATGAGAATAGAAAGTCATCTTTATATCGATGACTTCGTACTTAGCCTCGCTTTGAAACAAAGGATAGGGACAACTCGGAAATGGTCTATTGTGTCCTAGCTCGTCTACTGCAACGCGCTTACGCAGTTTGTACCATCCAGCTTGCTATCTACGCACCATTTTCTCTAAATGTATCATTCAAGATTTGGTCCACAAATGAATCACTTCGCTTCTCTAAGAACCAACACTCAAGAGAAGAAAAACAGTGCGTGGCTTTACCAAAAATGATTGAAAAGAAAAAAGGCGAGTAAAATGATCTGAGGCAAATTGTGTGTTTTGCTTTTTTATTATTATTCACTTGTCTATTTTATTTTTTTCTTTTATATTATTTCCCTTTTTACCCGTACCTTTTAAGTTAAGCATGTGCATACGGTGCGTGCTGGTTGCCACGCCCCTGACTGTACTCCAGTTTTAAATGGATATATATGAGCTTCGTCGAGCGGATCAAGGTTGTTTTAAAGTTCTTGCTTTTTCGCTTTCTGAACAGTTGTTTACTGTGAACAATGTTAAGCAGGACGATTGACCATGCCAGAAACTGAAATTAGACAGAAAGCAAACTAGGAAACTGTTCCATATCATTGTGATGTTCTCTCTTTCCTCGTTTCCCGGTATTCCCGCTGGCTAAAAATCACATTTATCACATTTATATTTGTAGCTCATTATTTTGTTCCATTTCAGTTGTTATCCTCGTCTTAGTTGTTCAACGACAGAAAAGTACAATCTACAAATGAACTCCTCATATCATTTCCTATGTTTTCTCGTGGTTTTTGTTCTAGAGGGGAAATACATTGCCAGCACTAAACCAGGTTAGTATTAAATGAAGATTTCCAATATGATTTAACAAGTGTGTGTAAGGTTGATCTTTTTAACAAGAGTCACCTCAATAATTAAAAAAACATCGAGAGAAAAAAAGGGCATTACACTGCTTCTGCAACTTTACCAAAAAACGAATTTTAATTACTGGGATTTCCACATTTAAATGTAAAGAAAAATTGAAATGGATTGGTGTAGTGGTAGTTGTATGACGACCTTGTATAAAATGGCCGATTTATACACAGTATTTTTAGTTATGATCAAAGTGGTTAATTCATTCCCTTGAAACCATTTATTGCAGGCAAACCCATAATAACTCTGCCATTTCCAGTCGTTGAGACAGTAAAGGAGCATTTCTTGTCTTGCACCGCCATGGGGACGCCTCCCATTCAGGTGAAATTGTTAAAGGATAACATTCTTTTGGCAAGTGATATAGGCACAGTATATTCTCGATGGAATGAAACGGCCACGTACACATGCTTCGCAAATAACTCACTTGGTACAGATTCTAGAAATTTCCAAGTTACTCTATTAGGTAAGTATAGTACTGGTTCTTATTGGACAAATACAGTTATTTACCGCAATAACACCTAAATTTACACAATCCTCAAGGCGGAGTTCTCGTTAAGTACAAACCAGTCCATTGATCCATTTCATTGTGATTTTTTTAAGCATTGTAATGTAAAGCGGATTAGATCATATACCAATGTATTTTGCGATATATAAATAATAAAAAAGTTATTATTATTGTTATTGTTATTATCAGTTAGTTGAAACTATAATCTTTTGATAGAAATTAGAGTGAACCGGTAACCAATGAAAAATAAGCTGGCGTCTGAGCCCAGAATACGATTATTTCCCTGTTTAAACCAGTTGTGTAAGAGCTGCAGTTTTAACAGCTTCCATTTTATGGAGAAATAATAAAAGACCGGTTATCAAGGTGAGAATGGTATATTTTAGAAGATATTCATTCGCTTATTGCTACAGTTCTGTTTCTTGTGGTCAAAAGATGACCACACCTATTAGGCGGCGGTTAAGCTGGCGGTCATCAGCATTTAACATTGCTATGCGATATATAACCAAAATGAACTGCAAGGTATATGAATAAATGAAATAAGGTACAAAAGCGGAAGGAGGGATTGTGTTACTGTGTGACAGTTACGTCATCATTAAGTTCTTGAGTATAAATCTGTTCCTGTGGGGGCATGAACTTACCAATTCGTTGCGTTTGTTAAGGCTACATAGTTCTTTTTTTTTTACAGTAGATTATGAAAAAATTTTCACTCAGACAGAGGTTACATTTTATGCTAATATTATTGTATAGTTTGCATCTTCTTAGTATTCTTTATTTTAGGTTGGAGGGTTTCTTTGCGTTTTTGAGAGTACAAATGTGCTTGGATAGCTCAGTCTAGTTTCTTTTCTTGTGGTTTCGGAAGGGTGTTACATGATTTCTATATCGTTCTTTGACGTTAGTTGCCGGTTGTGTCAGTCGCTTGTTATACAATGTGGTTTGTAGGGCATTGGTCTTTCTTTCTGCAGTTGCATTTTTTCACGGGTTACGCGGCTGATGTTGACGTGCAATGGGAGAAGACTGCAGCTGTTTTGTTATGTGACACTATGATGGATAGGAATAGCTGAGTTAAGGCGTGTGTCTGTTAAAGATCTTTTGAAGAGGATGGTTTCTTGGAAAACATTTGTCCATGATGTTGAGGAATTTTCTTCCTAAGTTGGTTTTGACACTTCCAAGGAGGGTTGTAACATGTGAGGCGGCGAGCTTTCTTTCAGTTTCGTGTATTAATTCGGTTGTTCAGAGGTGAGTTTGACATCGTATCTGCTTTCGTCCAGTGCTTTTTGTTAAGGGAGAATAGTTTACTATATTCTACGCAGATAGATTTGTGGGCAATATTCTACGCAAAATACAGCCAAAGTCAATAGCGACAAGTGTAAGGAGGTCAGGATATCGTTTGTAAAGGATGAGCCCCAGTTTACTGTAGTAGTTGGTAATGAGCTACAGAGAGTGACTGGTGCTAAACTTCTAGGTCTGACCATATCGAGCGACCCTACGTGGAACTAACATATTAGTGACATAATGAAGAAAGCGTCAAACCGTCTGTATTTTTTAGTGCAGTTAAAGAGATCAAGAGTTCCTCGGCAGGATATGTCCACTTTTTACACTGCTTGTATACGGTCTGTTGTTACATATACGCAGCACCTGCCTTTTTTATGCCCTACCTAAAAAACGAACTGGTGCGAGTTGAAAAGCGGGCAATGTCTATAATATGCCCAGAACTGCCCTACCAGAAGGCTATCGAACTGGTGAACATTGTCCCTATTGTAGATTTCATCAAGGGGCTATGTCTGAACACCGTCTAAGCAGTTTAATACCTTCTGGTGGACCGTCAAGTTGTGCTCTAAGGTGAAACAGGCCCTTGATTGTACCTAAATGCAAGACAGATCGTTTTAGGAATTAGGAAAATCTAGCTTCGTTGAAAACCTGTTGGGTGAATGAAACGCTTGATAATCTCTTGTTGATATTTTCAGGAATGTTTTTCAGTAAGGCTAGGGCCATCGACGTAGAGTAGTTAGTTATTTGGTTTCATGAAGGGCTTAATGCTTCGGTTTGGTAGATCAGAGGTTACGTCTAAGAAGTTTACAATTCTCTTGTTCGCCTAGCAACAATCTAGGCAAACGCGAGAGAGCAGTCTTTGTTACGAAAAATTGCATTGCGTGACTAGCGTGACTTTCTAGAAGGTTCGCGAGAGTTCATAGTTTGTTTATTTTAGGATTTTGTGCAAGCGTTTCTAAAGCGGTATATTTTGTAATCTTTCTATAATTAGACTATTTAGAAAGTTCTAGAATGTTAGTGTGGAAGTATATAAGTAGGCGAGTCCGAGTTAAGTTTTAACTAGTTTTCACAAGCGAAGAGAGTTTGACTTTAGTCGTGTTTAGTCAAGTGTGACGAAAGCAGTGTTTATTCAAGTTGGCGGAGGCCGTGTAAGTTTATCAAGTTAATTGAAGTTGGCGGAGGCCGTGTAAGTTTATCGTGTTACGTGCTGTTATGGATCGAGTTTTACTTCGTGGAAACTACGTTCATTTTTGGAATAAATCTTCTTGTTGCTGTTCCGACAACCCTGCGTTCAGTTTAGTTTCAAAGCTACCCGTCCTCTTAAAGATTACCCGCGTAACAGTCTTGAACAAGCTAAGTAATAATAATGATATAATTCTAAAACCAGCCGACAAGAGAGGAGCCACAGCAATTCTGAACACATGTGACTACATAGTAGAAGGAAAGCGTCAGCTAAGCAACGAGGAATATTATGGACAGAACCAGCAGACTACTTATCCCTGGTCAAAAAAAACGTGATAAAAGCACACAGTAATATTTAGGGAGTTATTATACCTCCAAAAATGGAGTAAAAATTTTAAATACAGGATTTAACTCCAAATTTAGGGTCATTTTTACTCCTGAAAAAGGGTTCTTTCAACTCCCAGTCTGGAGTTAAAATAACTCCCCCCAAAAATAACTCCGCTGCAAGGAGATACATTAACCACACTACAGGAGTTATTGTAACTCCTTGAAAATTAATGTGACCACAAAGAGGCGAACCAACATGTAACTAACAGCATCACCTCTACCGACAAAAAATCGCACAAGATCTTTCACTAGATGATCGCATCGAAAGTTCAACTAAACGGGACGCATTCACAACATTAAAAGAAAATAAACCAGTCTTCATGAACAACCCATGCATCCTGCAGACTTATTAACCCTCTAAGATCAGAAATAGGGATCATTAGCAAAAAATCCTAGACAATATTATTAAAAAATTATAGCAGCTATTAAAGTTAATCTATGGAAAAGTACGTCACAAGCAATCGAATAGTTCCAAACCCTCCCCAATTTTCCAAGTTCTCCTAACCCCTAGTGTTTCTTTGAATCTCTGACAAATAAGAGAAATTTTCCTCACGATAAAAGCCAATGTCTGTGTACTATACCGCTCCTCAACAACCGCGGAAACCTCAGTCATCAGTATTTACATTATGGTTCTTGTCATCTTTTACCAAGGGGAAGCGGCTGGGGAGAATTTGTTCCAGGCAACATGACATTATCAAATACCGCGACACTTTTTAAAACCTCGACAAGAACGTTTTATACCTGCCATATAAGAATGAAATACAAATTCAAACTCAAAAAGGCTTACTAATATTTTATTCAAACTTTTTAACAAGCCTGTTACACCCCAATTTTTTTAATTTTTCCATTCGAATGAAGTTTACCTTAAGTGTGACCTTTTATCTTTTGTTGTAAATATCACGTCAACTGAGTGAGGTATAAAAGCCGTTTCTTGCCTTCTTCATAGAAACATATTCGTAGGTTTGTGTTTGGAATCTGAAATATCAAGGTAGACCTTTCCTGTAAAAGGTGTTTTATCCCCACTTTAATTGCCACTTTTGCGATTTTTATATTTCATTTTAGCTTATTTTCGCATTTGTTTAATCGGTGGTTTAGTAGGTTGTCTTCGATTTCTCCTAGTTGATTTATATTTTATCCACCAATTATGATAAGTGGATTTTGAGTTGTTTAAAGGTACCTGAATGCTGTCGTATTCAGACTTACTTTTCGCGTTTTGAACGGCACCCAACAACAGCGCGATCTTCAAAAGTCGCTATTTTCGGTCTGTGAATGGGTCCAAATTCTGCCTTCAGATGGCACAAGTCGTTTTGGAGTGTGACAAAAAAAGAAAAGTAAGAAATCTGACAAACTAACCCGGTTTTATTATATGTATACCAATACTTTTTGTCCACGGAATATAAAGGTAAACTTCCTTTGCCCTCAAATGGGCAAAAGAAGTAGGTAAATACTCTTGATGATTGCGACTCTGACTCTGAAGTTATGTTCAATGCAGAAGACAAAGACTGGGTTGAAACTGTCAATTTTGGAAGCATTCAAGAGGTCTTTAAACTAGATAACGGGGCCCAGTACAATGTCTTGGCCAAAGTTGCATATGACAAAATTACAACAAAGCATTTGGAACCATCCTTGGCAAGATTAGAAAGTTGCTCCAAAACTTGTATTAGACCTGTTGGAAAGGTGAGTTGCCTTGTTGGGTGCGTGGGGAAAGGTATCAAGTATGTTTTCAAGTGTTTGATTGAAATTACATGCCCCTCCTGGGTAGATCATCCTGTAAGAATATGGGTCTAATCCAGGGTATAAATGCTATTGAAAGTGGCAGCGATCTTGATGAGTTCCCTGAAGTATTCCAAGATCTTGGGTGCCTCCCAGGGAAATATTACGTAAGTGTTGACCCCTCTGCTCCTCCTGTGGTTGGTCCACCTAGGCGAGTTCCTCACTCTAAGCGAGACCCACTGAAGAAAGAGTTAGATCGGATGGAGGATGTTGGTATTACAGAGACAGCTCTATTCGTATATGGTTGGATCTAATAGACGTTAATGGTGCCATAAAAGAAAAACACTACCAGGAACCACAGTGTTTTCAACTTTGGATGCAGAAAAGACAGTCTACCAAATCTAGTAAGATGAGGAGAGCAGCAAAGACCTGACATTTAATATCCTCTTTGGGAGGTATAGATACCTGAGGATGCCGATGGGGATTACGTCTGGTCCGAAGGTTTACCAACAAAGAATGGAGCAAGTCTTTGAAGGACTGCCAGGGCTGTTTTTCTGCGTAGCAAAGATGACAGTCTCAGATTGAAGAAGTCAAAGTGCCATATACAGCAGGAAGAGGTCAAGTTCCATGGCCATGTGTTCTCCCATGACGGTTTCAAGACAGACACAGAAAAAGGCAAAGCCATAGTTTTCTTTACATCATTTCCGTTCTTTGTTAACAGCGTTACTGCAGGACTTGTATACCGACCGTATTTGTTGGAATAAAAGGCGTGCTGGTGCAGTTGTATTAGCTACTTCGACTTCATTGACAGAACTCCAGGGCGCATCCTTAGGTTAGGCTTCATTAACCTGAGATCAGGCGTTTTTTTATTTATTTATTTATTTTTGCTTTATTGCTTCTTTGGCTCGATGGGGAAAAAATAACGCCAAATACATATATTGAACAAGCCGTCAACCGCTCTCTAATTTACATAATCTAACGTCTGCTTGACCTGTCATGTTATTAGCCAATCAGCGTTTACAAGACGGGAATCAAATTTTAGCGCGAATAATGTCTCTTTTGAAATCAACTTTAGGGAAATGAGAACTTTTAAGTACGTCGATGTTCATATGGGGCTTCCTAAAAAAATTTTTAAATGTGTTGTTTTTCTTATGAAATACCGCTTGCTGGAGCTGCCGTACCTTTATTTAACAGCTACAAATAAAAAAGAGTTTACTGGCAAAAACTCGTTGAATTCGTTCTGTGCCGAAAGCAGTGAAAAAAAAAATTAGGCTGAAGCACCTTATTTCACGAACTGAAAGGTGTTGTGCAAGCGAAGATCGCTCAGAATAATTTGCAGGCTTCTGAAGGAGGAATTACAATCAAACCTGGTCAAGATTCCATTCATGAATTGATTATTTAAAAAGTGAACCCGTTTGTCGCTTCTGTAACTTGTAGCCGGTATCAAATTGCATTCAAATGATCGGTGAATTTTTGACAGCAACTTTTTAGTATACGATGAGATGGAAAATATTTCAATGGATGAAATTTCTATTTAGGCATTCTTCAAATTCAAGAAAACTGAGCCGGCAGAAATTTCAAAAGGAACCTCGTGTGTGTATTCACTGCTCATTTCGCAAGCAAAAATGCAGACTGAAATCAACAACAACTAACGAATGTCGACATTTTGGCCAATCGGAACAGCACTAATCATCCATATTGTTTCCTATCCAATCACAAAAAAGTCCAGATTCTGGCTTTTTTACAAGTGATACGACAAAGAAATGTATCATGCCCTCTTCCCGTGAGAGACACAAAGGGATAATAGGGAGAGGGCATGACCTCAGGCTAAGGCTTCATTGACCTTTCTGGCATGATATTGCTCATGCCGGTTTCTACCAGATTACTGCATTGGAGTTTTTCCTCACCAATGAGTTGGTTGATGACGCATTGCCAGTCAATAGTAGCAAAGCACCACCTGAGGCGCGCCTTGTTGGTGTCTCTTATATCTCTAATTGGATGGTTTTCTTAATGCGCTGGTTGGGTACTCTTTCCTTTGGCTTCATAATGATTGTATGGTTGTCTGAGGGACCAAATTGTGGTAAAGTCTCAAGAATCGAAAATTGATCGCTTATGTGGTTAAGATTACGTCGAGCGTTGCTTGGCCTCTTGTTGGAAATTTCACAAGCTATTTTAACTTAAAATGGTTCGACAAACGGTTTGCGCCCGAGTGGTTGAAGTCACCTATGACGATTATCCCACAATTGTTCAACTTAGGTCCTGCTGCAAACAAGTTGTCGAACAGATCAGCTGTCAATTAAATTCTGCTCGACTAATTCGACCTTGATAATATACGACTGCCAAAAGTACGCATATAAAACCCGCGAGGGGATCTTTATACTTGTCTTAAACTTTACGTAAACCACATAGTCTATCTTCTTGAGGTCAAAACGGCAGATCAGTTGAATTGCCGTTCTGGGTCCTGTCTTATTTCAAACGTTTCGAAAAGTGGTCTGGAAGAAAGGTGAGCACCAACTTCATGGAACGTATATAGAACCTTGCAGCCATAATACAACTGAAAAAACGGTAATCTCCAAAGTTAAAAAAGTAGGTCAATTTTGCCTGTTGTTACGACGTCGTAGACACCGGAAAATTTGCAGCTAGCTTTACCTTCCGTAATAAAAAAAATGGAATCATCTGGGTTTCTTTTTCTTTTCTTTTTTTTTTCCAGATTGCGAGACACCCTGCTCATACAGTAGTTCCATTGGATTTTGGGGAGCTGAAAACAATTGTGACTGCTCTAACAAGAGTAAAGCCTTTGATTTTGAATTTCTGAAATGCATTCCAACGACCACTTCAAATCTGTAAGTGACAATTACAATGGTTCCCAATTACAAGCGCCCTCGACAGGTTTTTCTGTTAGTGTCCTGAGCTCGTGAATAGTTTTTGTAATTTTTGGCTATAAGTAGTCAGAATGGCGTAATTGTTTCCATACAAGAAGTCGCAATGGAAAGACATGCGTCACATTTGCGTCATATGTTTGTCAAATGCGAGGAATGTGACATACATTAACGGTCGCAGTTCTTTTGGTGGATTCATGGACTTCACTGTTGTGAGTTCATGGCGTTATATGTGTCCTTTCAGGGCCAATTTCCTCTACAGAAGCCCCCATGCTGTCATCATTAAGCTGGAATGTGGGTAAAAGCAAGCCTCTGAAAGAACACAGAGGTGAGAGGTGGTTTCGCGCTAAGACGCCAAAAATGCTTCGTAGCAGACATGGCGCTAAGCTAGTGAAATCAAAATTCGCTGAGGCAAAAGGTATGATTGAAATGCAAAAGCAACCACGGTTAATTTGATTTTAAAAAAATTCTTTCAATCTTGTTACCCACAATTATCGTGGTTATTCTTGCTAGTCAGCAATTCAAAGAAAACAATACTACTAGGAGGAGGCACTTTAGGGATGCCATGTATTAGTCCATGAGCTAGACCCCAAAATTTTGGTCACCAGTACCATATGAGGGGGAAAACTCTCAGAGTAGTTTTTGGCAAGGTATACATCCCTAAAGTTGGAAAATGTGTGACAGCATTTCTCCAGTTGTATCTTTTTATTAATTTCGCCCTCTTTTACATGTTGGCCTATATAAGGCACCTTATTAGCGTAATAACTAGTTTTTGATGTTACCCAGGCAATTTCAGCGATTTTAGTGAAACCAAATTCGTCTCAATAATGAACTAATCAGATGGTTGAACTTCAGGTAAATCGTTAATGTTTACCCCCTGTAAGTTTTGACAATAATACATTTTTCTCTGATCTATAATAATTATTTGTAACTTACTACTTAATAAAAATTGCTCCATATATGCAAATAGATATTTCTGTCATACGAAAGTAAACTATTTCACTAATTGGGAAGTGTCCCTTCTCAGTTTCAGAAAATACTAGAAATTTTGTTTTGAATGGCAGTTAACAAAGTTGTTTTGCAGTACCATCTTTAGAGGGTCTGTAAAAATGAGATCTTAAAATTTTGTTTGGTGCAAAAGGAAAGTCTAATAATTGAATTGCTGTGAAGGTACTGTTTTATGATTACAGTTATGTGTTGCATATTGTAATACACAAATCGGTTAGAAAAAATCTCGTTTCTTTAGAATGGAGAGCAAAGGCAAGGACTCTTCTAAAGAACAGTGTCTCATACACAAAAAGAGGGTATCAATCATTTAGTCATTCCTCAAAGCTATGACTCCTGGCCAACGTTACTTGAAGCAGCCAAAGTTAGAGACCATTCTCCTATTCTTGAAATCGCTAAACAGCTTAAAGAGAATGAAGTCCGAAAGATATTTTATCACCGAGGACGTAGAATTCTCTTCAAGATGTAGAGAGATCTGGAGACTCTAAAACATAAAGCAGATGTTACTGACAAGGTTTGGTGACTGAGTATAGCTTACAGCTGTTTTCAATGAAGCCTAGAGGTTTTGCTCTTGTTTCTAGCTGTTTCTAAGGTTTTGTCATTTTGGCATTATACATACTATTTTATGGGGATGTAAACTAAAGCTACCACAAAATAAGAACTAAAAGAAAAAACAATAATCGATTTATTTCGAAACATAGTACGGATGACTTACACAACCCTTATTTTCCTAAAAGTGTTTTGAAAACGAACGAACATTGTAAATGTGAGGGGTAAAAACAGTAAAGTACGAATAAACCATAGGTTTATAATTAATATAAGGGTCAATTATTGTGCATTGACATGAATCGCTTGAAAAGAGATTTCATGCACATGACATCAGAATTAAAGAACAAGGGCACATAGTGCGTTTAAAGTGCTTTTCGTTCAGTCTTTTAACATCCAAGGACTATCTGTGAATAGTGTTTCGATATTGTTTAGCTGGCACAAAACTTCAGAGGAGTTCTAAAGCGGTATAATTGCCTGCCCTGAAGAAAAGTTGGTCGAGTATGAGACAAACAGTGAACTAGAGGGAATTTTCAACTCATATTAGTATCACGGCAAAAAATGTGTTATCGATCATTTAATTCTATTTACATCATTTAAAGTGTGTGCCGATGAAAACAGCATGAGAGTGAGAAATCTTAAAACTTTCTTAGATCACAAAAATCAAAGGATTACATTCCTTTAAGTTAGGGTTGATTTCCACTGTCGCGTAATTTTTACGTGGCTGCGCACGTGCGTAAAATTTACGTTCGCAAATAAAATAGAGGCAATGGATGAAAGGTCGCACGAAAGCGTAAAAGTAGAACCTCTCTCAACTTCATGTTTAATCTCAACGCTTTATATCTTGCCTCTATTTTATTTACGTGGTTAAAATTTACGTGCGTTAACATGCGTAGCCGAAAACGCGTCACTGGAAATCAACCTTTAAAGCAACATACCATGGGAAAAATCTTAAAACTGAATATTTTTATCTTGTGGAAATAGAATTATGCGGTTTCATGTAGACTGTAGACCGCAAGTTAGGATCGTCTATTTTTATCTCCGTGCGATCAATGGGCAGTTGGCTGTCTTCTTCTTTCATGCAAAATGCAATATTTCTCGCTAATGTGAGCAGTTCAGTGAATTCGCCTTTTGGAATCAGCTTTAACGTCTTCCATTTTTTGTCGAACAAATAAATTGTTTCAACCACTCGCTTTGCATACGTAGCGCCAAACAATGCGTAAATCAGGTTTATAATCATGCAAGTCCTGAAAAACCGGTTAAAAGATATTATATAAAAAACCGTTTTGGACCAACACTAACTGAAACTGGTCCCAATATTCCTTTCTGAGTACAAGAAATAAGTCAAAGAAGCAAAACCCAGAAGAAGGAGGAGTTTTCGAAAATGGCGCCTTTGCCTTTTCGAAACGCTATTTCTTAAAGCTGGTTTTTTTTGGATATTGAAGCCTTAAAATGGTTTCTGTTAGTGCAGAATAGTGCAGTTGCAACAGGTGAGTGAAATTTATATGAAGTTGAAAAATAACGCGTGTAAGAAAGGAAAATGTTTCATTTGTTATACTATTTGAAAACCCTAAGCCATATAGACTTCATGTGTTTCTCTCGGTTTTCAACTGTTTTGAATTCTTTAGATTTCCGTCACTAGAGATGCGCAGGCTTTCACTATTTCATCACGTTCGCAACGAGCCATGTCAAGAAATGCTTGTTTACGAAAGTAAAAATATCGTTTTCTGTCGTTTTGCCAATTTCGAAGACAGGTTTTTGTACCAAATTGCTTTCCCCCACAACCCCACACCCCCTCCCAGCAGTGGCGATGCACGTTATAATTCCTTGGCCCCCTACCGTGTACTTGAAATCTACTCGTAAAAGCTGAACCCTTGGAATATCCTCCACTGGTGCTTGGTAACAAAGATTGTACAGATTTTGTCAACATGAATTTCAAGGTCATGATGTAAGTGCATGAGTGCAAAATCCTGACAACCACTCATCAGACATCCTGTTTCTGAGATATGACTTGATTAGTCGCAAGCCAGAGAATGAACGATAAAAGCTCAGCTCCGGCAAAACTAACAGGAAGGGTACAACCAATTCCAAGCAAAATTCCTATGTTGGGATTTATATCGTCCTCAGCATATTTTACTACCCGATAAGATTTCCTGGTAGCTGCAAAGTGGGTGTGTACTGTTTCCATAAAAGTTGCCTTTCCTTTAACTCAAAAAGAAGAGAGAACGGTGTAGGCAAGTCCTGTTGCCAAAATTGCAGCTCTTCTGCTAAATTTCAAGGACTGTCATGCTTCACCACGACAGATGGAACCAGGGCACTAAAAAACAGATACATTTTGGAATATCCCTGGAATTTACTTTGGTGGCAAAATAAAACGCGCGTTTTATTAAAAAATATCTCAGTTAAAAAGTGATATACGATCCTATAAATGCAAGAATTTCAAACTCAAACAAGCGCCAGGTCTGATAGGGAGAGTCCGCACTCCCGGACCCTCCCCCTAGATCCTCCACTGCGGGAATGATTGCTCGTGACGTCACGATGGTCAAGCTCTTCAAGCTATTGTTCAACCGACCTCCCTTTTCTCATTCGCCATTTTGTTGCTAAATGAACCTCAGTGACTCTCCCACGTTTTTGCTTGCAATCTAGGCCTTACCACTGACCTTTCAATGCTATGGTCGACTCTTTATTTCAAGGGTCCCACGTTCCCGTCTGTAACATAAGATTTTGCTTTAATCAAAAATTGGCTGTTTTTTTCCTTGACTTCCAGTTTGGCATGACCCCTTACATGGCACTTCCAGTGTGTGATGACGTCATGTTGCTTTCTAAATGGTCAATTGATCGTGAGGTCCAATTGTCTCCCTAAAGTGCCTCCTCCTAGTAGTAATAATAATTAAAGAAAAACAATACAAATTTCAAAGGAAAATAATAATAGTAATCGTATAACAATTACGAAAGTAAAAGAAAACTTAATCTGTTCATGTTGTACTTCAGCAGCATAATTAAAACTATATAAAACTGTTCTAGTGAGGCCTTGAACTGCTGTTTAAAAAGTAAAAGCTAAAATCCAAGCTTTTGCCGATCAACGGCATCATCAGGGATGAGAAAATATTCCGCGGGCGCTATATATATGCAAAGAAAGGGTAGGGTGAAATGTGTAAAAGATGCGACGTATGTATGAAAGCTATAGAAATAAACTGTGAGTAGAATACAAAGCTCTAATGATGGAGTGTCTCTAGACAAAGAACCTGTAATGCGCTTAAGAATGGTCTCTCAAATAAAATACTAAAATAAAAGGTCTACGAATTCAGTACATTCTTCTCGGGAATTGAGTGTAGGCTTGCACTTACACTTTCTTTCTTTCTGTAAAATGCTTCATACAGACTTAGATTATCGGGGTCGTTTTCGCTCATAATAATCTTGACATCAATGTAATACATTTGAGGAGCACCTGTCCTCAATGCGTTTTCGCTCGTTGCGAATGAAGTTGAGTTTGGATTTGGTGGGGAGAGCTGATTGATGCATGGTGGATAAATAGTGGTTTCTTGGCTGGCTTTTCGTAAAATTCAAAAGAGCTGTTGCCATCCTTAGATATAGTGACTTTGAAATCGAGTAATGACAATGACAGGCCACTCGGTGTTGTTTCTCTGATCCGATTTTCGACAGCTCGTTGTTAAGTTTGGGGGTAGTTATCTCAGCAACTGGTGAAAACGAGCTGTTTGCGAGATAAAATCAAAATGGCTGTTGCATTCAGCATTTCTCGCACCTGAAGCAGGGATTCCTGGGCCGACTTGAACTGCCGAGGTGTTTCCTACCGATGCATTCGTTTCTTCATCTTCTCCAGACGTTTTGACGGCCTCCAAAAGTCGCTTTGACATGACTGTTTTCGAACCTCTGTCATCAAGCCGCGTTATAGTTAAGAAAGCTCTGTCTTTAGTTCAGATACACTCAATTTACACTTTAAAAAAAGGCCATTTTGAGTCTCTGTCCGCCAAAACTGTTATTCTTTCTTTTCTAGAAAATAAAAGGCTTTTGCAAGAAAACAGTTTACATCAGATTAATCGTATCATTTACCTAAAAGCTACCTATGGAACAAAAAAAATGAAACAAAATCGTTTTTTCAACTCTTGCCACTCAATACTCAAAATTTCCTGACCGTCGCTCTTAAACTGTTTGGCACAATAATCTAAATCTAGCGGCTTGAAGTGAGTGGCGTTTTTTACGCCATGTCTTGTAAATATTAATGCCTAGTTATCTGCACCATTTCTTGTGAAACAGATTGCTATAAAGGAGAACACACTGCAACACGCAGCTGATTGCTCAGATTTCTATTTTTAGTTGTATTTCGGGCTACTTGAGAGTACAGCTTCCCCACTATTCTTTTGTCCGGATTTCAGGCCGTAATTATTAGATATCTCAAATATGCAACGTAACACTGATGCGTTTTCATGGAAACGAGGTAGAGACAAGAGTTAGAAATTGAAAAAAGTCTCTCTTGCAAACCAGCCTTCCTTTTTTTTTTCAAAGATGGTTTGAAGAGTCAATTTATAGCTTTGTCTGACCATATAGAATAATTCTGTGGAACAAAATTTAAAAAACTATTACAAATAGTCATTTGGGGTACATAACCTCTCTTTTGTAATAAAAACTGTTAACGTTATAATAATGAATTATGCCAGTTAAGCCACCGAGGTATGTGACGACTTTTGCTTACACTGAAGAAAGATTATACACCCGAAACACCTATTTTGCCGATCATTTCTAGAAACAATCACAGGAAAATATGTTTTGTAGCAATATCTTGAATTTTTCTTTTTAATTTTTTTACAGGAATCTTAGTTCCAACAACATTGTGGATCTTCACGTAGGGATATTCTCCAACCTGACAAATTTGAGGCACCTGTAAGATGTCTGAATACTTATTAAATAATGCACCTATCAATGTAAACCCCGTTGGGGGGGGGGGAGTGCGGGCAAGGGGTGGGGATTTGACAAATTTTAAAATTTTTTGATCAAATTCCCCAGGGTGGGAAACGAAAGGTCAATCAAAAGTGTCAAAAAAGCCCCCACCCAAGGGGAAAAAATCTAAACAAACAATACTATGATACTGTATAAAACGAATTAAAAGAACATTTCAAAAGTACGTCCTTACTAAACGTAAGCTCCGTTAAATTACTCGCTGTAATTAAGTATTTTCTCTCTCCACTAGCATCTCTTATTTTGAACAGCAAAATCACTCTAGGAAGATTGACCGTGCTATTATAATAAAAATGAAACGTAAAATGCTTTATAACATCTGCTCAACATGTCGGAACAGGTCGGATCAGTGTCCCGTAAAAAATCCTCTGACTTTCGTGGTGGAATTCGATTTCAATCGAGTTTTACAATCAGACGGGAACTTGAAGATAAAAACTTTCTCAAAATAGACATTATCTGTTTAGATGACAGTTTAAAGTATCGGATTATGGCGATTAAAACAAATGAAAACTTCACACCTTTCTCCAACAGCGTGACCTTCAGAAAGCCTCGAGGGACGGATTTGGTAACCGCTTCTGAATTGATATCAGGCTTCTGTCGGTCAAAGTCAAATGTCCCGACCCCTGGGTCGCTTCGCACGATCAAAAGCCCGACAGGGGGATAGTCTCAGGCATCAAATCCCCGCCCCTTGCCTGCACTCTCCCCACCCCCACGGGATTTACATTGATAGGTGCATGACGTTTCGTTTAAACTGTTTGACATACTATTTCAAATCTCAGCAAATACTTAATGTAACTGGAGCACTACACACAGTCTAGTAAAAAGGACATTTTTTGTGTCATTTCTTCTGAAACAAATTAATAGGAAGGTGAACGCATTACAATAATAATTATTTTATTCCTTTATTTATCCTCCTTAGTATTTATGGCACTTAATATGCTATTGGGGCCGCGCAAAAGGTTGAAACAAATAATTGAAATCAAACATAATAGGGTTAAGAATTTCAACTGGTCGGAGGCAAACAGGCTGCAGCTATTTACAAGTATGGTCAAAGATTTTATTTCGGGACTACCGTGAAGAAATCCAGCTAGCGGTAAGGGCGGGACTTCAACTCGGGGCCTCCCAATTGCAAGTCCAGCGCTCTAACCGCTCGGCCACACGACCTCCTTACAACTTAAGAAGGGTAATACACCTAAAACGCTTGTTTTAAACATCGCGTAGAATGCCCGGTCACATCCGGGAATTTAACAGGTTAGAGCCGCATTCGAGCCACGATTTGGTCTTTAAAATATGGCGGAATAATAAGACTGAAGCGAATTTGAGAGTTTTTTGTCTCTGATTGTGAGTTACTCGTAACCAAATCTCAATGGGTACCACCGGAATATTAATATAAAAAACATCAAATTCAAGATCTTACCTTCGATTAATGCCAGCGTATCGGATTTCACTGGGTTTTTCGCGCTAAAAACCAACTAAAAAATCGCCATTTTTGTATGGATTTTCACTTGCGTCAGGCTGCTTGCGTAGACGTTTGCGGGAAGATTACAACCAAAGTTTGCAGAAATCGCGAACGGTACCACCTGATATCGTGCCATCTTGCGTCTGCCTTTGAAACCACCACAGTGTTTTAAACCAAGGAATGTGATAAAAACTGGGTTTTTTGTTTTTCTTTGAATTTGACCTTAACCCGTGAGGAGTAGCCAGCGCGAAGAAAATGCCCAGAAAACGTCTTTAAAAGCCAAAATAAATTCTCCGCGTTTCGGCCGCCATCTTTTTTATTTTTCAAACTTGTTTCCAGTACTCCTTGACCGTTTTGTTGTTTTTAAGTCACGTATGCTTCATTTAGAAGTGTCACGGATAAAAACAGCAAAATACTAACCCCCACCCGGACAGGAAATTTATTTGTTGACCTCAATGGAGCGGGAATTCTACGCGACGCAACACGTTCTGATATTCTGGTTCAACAATAGTAGTTTTTGATTTGTTTAATTGCAAAATTAACGCATCTGAAGCGAAAGCTCTGTTCATTCTCCGACCATACATGGATTTTAGACCTTTTAAAAAGTGTTTTCTCTAAAATCAGTGCATTTCATCACCTCATGTCGTTTAAATACTATAACTTCAAGCTGATTGGTGAGAGAGTTTTTCTTGGTCAAGTGTTAACGCTCCGCTGTTTTTTTTGCTGGAGGCTTATTAAGTTTAACTATTTGCAAAATGTTTTTTAATTTCCTTTCGCTCTGTTTTACGGCTATTATGATTGTTAGTTTAAATATCATGATTACCGTTTAATTAGGCCATAATTATCCAAGATTAAGCTTCTATTTTGTTTTTCAAAGTCCGGTTTTTTAGCCTTAGCTAACGCCACACGAACTTCGTTATTTTTTATAAATTACATAGCAATCCACGCTGGAAGCTTTTACACCTTATAATTTATATTCCCGCTTAAAAAATCAGCTGACCTACCCTTTCACCTATTTTAAACTGGATCAGGGGGATTATTCCTCGAAAAAAGAGAATGGTGAAGAAAGCTAATATCTGAAAGAAAACTTAATCTGTTCATGTTGTCCTTCAGCAGTATAATTAAAACTATGTAAAACTGTTCTAGTGAGGCCTTGAACTGCTGTTTAAAAAGTAAAAGCTAAAATCCAAGCTTTCGCCGATAAAATATTCCGCGGGCGCTATAATATATGCAAAGAAAGGGTAGGGTGAAATGTGTAAAAGATGCGACGTATGTATGAAAGCTATAGAAATAAACTGTGAGTAGAATACAAAGCTCTAATGATGGAGTGTCTCTAGACAAAGAACCTCTAATGCGCTTAAGAATGGTCTCTCAAATAAAATACTAAAATAAAAGGTCTGCGACTTCAGTGCATTCTTCTCGGGAACTGAGTGTAGGCTTGCACTTTCTAATGTAAAATGCTTCATAGAGACCTAGATTATCGGGGTCGTTTTCGCTCATGATAATCTCGACATCAATGCAATACATTTGAGGAGCACCTGTCCTCGATGCGTTTTCGCTCGTTGCGAATGAAGTTGAGTTTGGATTTAATGGGGAGAGCTGATTCATGCATGGTGGTCAAATGGTGGTTTCTTGCCTGGCTTTTTGTAAAATTCAAAAGAGCTGTTGCCATCCTTATATATGGTGACTTTGAAATCGAGTAATGACAATGACAGGCCACTCGGTGTTGTTTCTCATACCCGATTTTCGACAGCTCGTTGTTAAGTTTGGGGGTAGTTATCTCAGCAACTGGTGAAAACGAGCTGTTTGCGAGATAAAATCAAAATGGCTGTTGCATTCAGCATTTCTCGCACCTGAAGCAGGGATTCCTGGGCCGACTTGAACTGCCGAGGTGTTTCCTACCGATGAATTGGTTTCTTCATCATTTCCAGAGGTTTTTACGGCCTCCAAAAGTCGCTTTGACAAGACTGTTTTCGAACCTCTGTCATCAAGCCGCGTTAGTTAAGAAAGCTCCGTCTTTAGTTCAGATACACTTAATTTACACTTTAAAAAAAGGCCATTTTGAGTCTCTGCCCGCGAAAACTGTTATTCTTTCTTTTCTAGAAAATAAAAGGCTTTTGCACGAAAACAGTTTACATCAGATTAATCGTGTCATTTATCTAAAAGATACCTATCAAACAAAAAAAATGAAACGAAAAGAACAAAGACAAAACTTTACTTGAAAACCTGCGACCCATATCTCTACTAAACGTTGATTACAAAATTCTGACAAAATCTATTGCAAAAAGACTAGAAAAAGTCCTCCCTAAAATCATAAACTCTGACCAAACTGGTTACATTAAAGGACGCTTTATCGGTGAAAACGTTAGACTAATTCAAGACGTAATGTCTCACACTAAGCAGGAAGAAAAACCCGGTATTGCCATATTTCTTGACTTTCGAAAAGCGTTTGATACAATAGAATGGAACTACTTAAGAGCCGCTTTACAAACGTTTAATTTTGGCCCTGACATACTCAACTGGTTTCAAGTTACTTACAACCAAGCATCGAGCTGTGTACTGCACAATGGTCATGCATCGGACTTCTTCCTTCTCGAGCGAGGTGTGCGACAAGGTTGCCCACTGTCTGGCCTCCTTTTCGTCGTTGGAATCGAACTCTTAGCTAGAGTACTTAAGAAAGACCATACTATTAAAGGTATCCAAGTCGGTCAGAATGAAATTAAGATAACCCAATACGCAGACGATACCACCGTTTTGGTGCAAGATCTTGATTCTGTCACACAATTACTAAAACATTTAGACAAATTCAAGCAGATCAGTGGTCTCGAAATTAACACAAACAAAACCGAAGCGTTGTGGTTAGGATGTTGGAGGTCGCGCAAAGACAAGCCGTTTGGTTTTAAATGGCCCCAAGAACCAGTCTATGCCCTTGGTATACACTTTTCGTATGACTTAAAGCAAGCCAACACCCTTAATTTTGAAGAAAAGGTTTGTTCTTTAGAAAAAACACTCAACAACTGGAAAAAAAGAAAGCTAACTTTAATTGGCAGAATCAATATTGTGAAGACGTTAGGTTTGTCGAAACTCATATATTGCAGTTCGTTACTGACCGTATCTAAATCCCTTATAGACAGAATTAATAAGATTATTTCCGGCTTCATTTGGGAGGGTAAGCCGAAAGATTGCTTGGATAAAGCGTATTGCTGAATCAAGTAATGCTTCGTGGAAAAAAATCCCAAATCAAGCTCTTAACCAATACGGAGGTCTAGAGTTCCTCATCGAATGCGACTACGATCCTAAGCTACTCAACTTAGAGAACCTTCCGGAGTTTTACCACACCATTTTAAATTACTGGCATGACTTCAGAAGACTGACCTGTGACAAGCAAATTTCCATAAAAAAAACAAATAATTTGGAATAACCGTAACATATGTATTGATGGAAAACCAATTTATATTAAATCCTGGTGT